AGCCCTACTAAGTGCCCCCAAACCAGGAGGTACTGTGAGCCCCACTGTGTACACAGGCAAACAGGAATACAGAGAGCTGAAGCAGTTTACGCATGGCCGCAGAGGTAGGTGATGAGGCCCCTTCAAACCCCAGAGCCTGACTCAAGATGTCCTCATGGTGGCTCGTTTGGCTGGGTTAGTCTCAGGCTGCCCAGGCAGGTTCTGAACAATTCAATCAAGTGATCCTCCTGCCTCCTGCCTCACCCTCTAAGCTGCTTTCACTGCAGTCTGGCATTTCATCTCTCCTTGGGGGACCCACCTCGCTCAGGCTTCCCCTTCCTCCGCGACAGGGCAGTGATTACTATGACAGCTTAGATTCACAAAGTACCTGAGGAGTCCCCGGATTTATTAGTATCACTATCAGAGGACTAAGGTCACGGCACAGCTCAGAGGACTGCTGGGCTCTGCTGCTCAGGAGAGTCAAGAGAAATGAAAGTCAAATTCTGCAGGCTTGGACATGAGCCGCCATACTTCCTCCCGGATTAGCCCTGGCAAGCTGGAAGTGTTGCGAGGGTGAGGCTATCAAAAGGGCTGTCCCCAGGACGGACTGGCAATGGACCGTGGGTTTCTATAGACAGGCAGACCTAAGTTCAAAGCCCAGCTCTGTGGCTTCCTCGCCGTGTGGCTCTGGGAGCCTTTCAGTTGCCTCATATGTAAAGCGGGGTTGGTAAGGCTTACCTGGGCAGGATGTTGATGGAGCAGAGATAGCGTGTGCAAGGCGCCTAGAACGGTACCTGACATCAGACCGATAATTATCCTGTGTCAGAAGCCGTATTATCTACATTTGTTATCTCACTTAATCCTACAATACACCCTCAAAACGATGATGTTACTCCACTGAAGGGAAGCAGTCCCGGGAGCTCCGTCGTGTGCCCCAGGACACACAGCTGGAGACTTCAAGCTGGGATCTGTCTTCTGCCGGTGAAGCTTGTGTTATCTCGGTTTTTCCCAGGCCCTCTGGCTACCTCTTTGCTTCCCAGGTCATCCAGCAGTCGCTTTGTCTATTCAAACATAAGGAGACAACCTCCGGATAATTAAATAAAATTTAAAAGGCAAACAAAATTTCTGCTATCTTTTCAGCATATGGCAAAGTTACAGAAAGGGCTGTGGAGTCTTCATAGGAGATAGTGTGATACACACGTTCACACAGAGAGGTTCCAAGAGGAGAACAAGTTCAAAGGGCAAATAAATTTGTCAAAAGCAAGTATAAGCTGTCCTCAAATGTATCAGTCGTGAATCTGGTCCGACTCTGCTCTGTAGAATAGATTGCAAACCCTGGTGCCGCCGTTTACCTCAGCAAGCGGTTTTCTGTTGTCACTTGTGTCTTGTTTTAGCGTCAGGTGGCCCTAAACACAACACGCAATCATTGTCACTGCTTCTAACGGTCTACAGACTTGTTCTACTACCGCCTGTCTTTCGAACTCATGGAGCTACTGACTTCTGCCAAGGCGTCTCTGGGGGGATTCTTTCCACACCATTTCCTGTGTCTCTAAAGTAAAACAGAACACTTACCTGTTTGTTTTGCCGTAAAATCAGCTGGATGTGATGCCGTCCTCAAGCAAAACATTTAGAGTTTCCAGGAAACCGATGAAGGCACACTGACAACCGAAGACTTTTCTGATATTCTGAGCATGTGAGTGAGAAAGTGACGGAAGAAACCAAGTCCTTGAAATCTATGGTGCGGCAGGAGGAAGAACGATGTTCATCTTGAAGCCTGCAGCTCCAGCAGTGTACCTGCCCCTGAGACCAATCAGAGGAGAATGGGATAAGGCTGTGTTGTTAAACTCGCTGCCTGCTGGGTAACTGGAATGAACACGTCGGGAAAATTCTAGGAGCTCACAAAAAACACCTGTCTTAGCATTACCCACCTAAAGCTGAGTGGCTTCCAGAATCAGTCGTTCAGGGAAGGATGCTGGAAGGGGTTAGAGAAAGTCCTCCAGCCAAGGAAGGCCGGTGTTCCACCAGTTGGAAGATCCCTGGGGAGCTCAAAGGGTTAAGGGGAAGTAGAAGGCGCAGTGTTACCTGTGGCGCTGTGTCCCCTGTCCCCTTACTCTGACTGCTTTGAAGCCAAGTTTCAAAAGACTGAGCAGTGGCCCATACACCCAAATTCTGGAAATATCCATGCATTTTTCTAGGGTGTTGTACCAGCTCACTAAGGATGCCTTCACAGAGACCCACAGCCCTGGTGATCTAACAAGACCTTGCTATTCTCATAACTGGGTCTTAATGTCTGGGACTGGGGGAACATTGGTCTGTATGTGGGCATCTCACAGGGGCTTTTCCTTCCATGTGTCTGTGTGTTCTTGATGTGGGAGTGTCATATATCAATCTGTTGATTTCATTGGTTAAGTAATAAACACACTGCTTGGCCTCATAGGTTAAAGCATTGGTGGGAGGAGTAAACAGAATAGAATTCGTGGCGGAAGAGGAAGTGAGGTCAGACTCTGCTCTGCGCCCGGACAGACACGATAGCTCTGTGCTCTGAGGCAGACGCATGAAGCTCCCCAGAATGGACATAGGCTAGAATCTTCCCAGTAAGCGCACCTTGGGGTGCTTACACACATCATTAGAAATGGGCTAATCCAGGTGCGAGAATTAGCCTGTAAGGGCTAGAGTTCATGGGCCAAGCAGTTCTTAAATGAACACAGTTTGTGTGTTGTTATTTCGGGCATGAGCTAGCCAAGCGGCTGGGGTGTTGGGGACGCAGCCCCGCCGCCTCTCCTATTTCAACATGTTCTGACCTCTCCTTTGTAGAAGGACCAAGGTTACATTAAATTAGGGCCCATGACCTCATTTGTCTCGGTGGGCTCTTTAAACACCCATCTTCAAATAAAGTCACATTCTGTACCCACAGGTTTAGGACATCAGCATGGGAGTTTAGAGGGTATGCAGTTCAGTCTGTAACACATAGAGTTCAAAACGGAATCGTTGAAAGATGTAGGCATTTCCTATTTTAATAACTTTGCCAAATTGTCACGGGAGAGTCATGGAGCCTGTGGCCACAATGATGTCAGGCTGGCAGAAGGGTCATTTGGAACTAACAACACTCTAGAAAATGTTCCAAGAGGAAAGCTCTGGCTATTTTCCCTCCTGAGGGCCAGAGATAAAGCCCAGGGAAGCTGCTTTCTCTGTACGGATGCAAGGAACCTCCTTATCTCCAGAGACAGGGCTGGGAGAAGGCTGTATAAAGAATCTCACTAAAGTAACGTTTCGTGGAGAACTGAGGAGGGGATTAGTTGTGAAGAAGAGGTCAGCGGGGGTGGAAAGGGATCCAAGTGATTTGGGGGGGATAAGATCAAAATGCAGTCTACATATATAGAAAAGTTTCAATGTGCTCGAAATTGGAAATAAAACAGACGTGGCTCCTGACTTTGTGGAGCTGATGTAGTAGAAACAAAAAAACAGTAAATAGACAAATAAATAAGTGATTGCAATAATTTCCTATTTCTGGCACAGTAAAGATTTTTAGTAAATATAGTATAAGAAAGTGAGAAATTTTATAACTTTAGCTATTGGGTCATATTCGTAATTTACCTCCTCAGGAAATTTCCCCAAATTAGCTGCTTCCCAGACTTGTGGAGAGGAGAAGAGAACAATCTGCATTTGAATGACCCTTAAAAGAACAAGAAGCGCAGGTATTTGGGGAGCTAATTGGAGTAGGGGTTGTACACCTCAGTCACACACAAATGCAAAGTTATGATGTGTGAGTCACATGAGTCACGGTGGGACCCTCACCATCTGGACTCACCAATTCTAGCTCGTGCAGACTTGAGGTCCAGAAATCTTGGCGCCCAGGGACTCAGCGGCAGAGACCTTCCGGTCCTTCTAAAGAAGATGAAATTTTCTATTCCAATTTAAATTAGGTTCGCTGATGAATCACAGCCTGCAAGGGCAGATTAAATGAAGCAAACACATATTTCTTGGTGACACGCAGTCAAGTATGTACAGTTCAGGGCTCAGGGAGGCTGCACGGAACCAGGACCCCGTGCTAATGTAACTTCCACTTCCAAGGCCACCTGACAGCCCAGGGGACCAACAGTCCTCCAGCCCTTACCTCCGTATTCTAAGCCGCAGGCAGGAAGGGAGACTCACTAGGGCCATCTTCACTCTAAGCGGGCATCCTGTTAGCCGAGGAGAGATGTACATGGTGCTCCCGGTGAGGGGTGCCTGCTGGAGCACATCCATGGGATGCCAGCATTTGCACAGCATGACAGCTGAATACACCCTTTCCCAGATACCTGCAGCAGAACCCCTCCTAAGGAGCAGATATGGAGGGGAGGTATTTCCGTGACGGACTGGGTGCCCGCAGCACTGTGGAGATTGGCGGCTGGAGGAGCAGTCTGCCAACGCCACACCCCATGAGTTCAGGGAGATGTCAGCAACCTAGGGAGCCCTCACCTCCTACTCTTTATTATACGTAATATATTATGTACATGTTATTACAAGGAGAACAGTTTCTGTCTTCCCTGAACTATCAATTTGCTTTCTGACCCTAATGCAGAGTGCCTTCTCAAGCCACATCAGGCTCACCCTGTCCAGAAGGCTGTGGTGAGCTCAGGCTAGTCCCGACTTTCTAATTTTGGCCCTCTCCAAACATCCCATGTCCTCATAAGCTTGGGTATGGCTCAGTTTCGGGGTACATGACAGCTCCCCGTCTAAATGACTGAGTCTTTCAGCTATGCTGGGCATTCTGAGACAGGCACCATGAGTGGATGGGAAAGCACCGATCTTGTGGTTGGCTTTCCTGTCTGGCATCCCAGGCAATGCCTATAAATACCTCTGCAGGTGTAAGCTGGAGCTGATTGCATTCCCTTTCCCCCAATGCACGAGGCTGTCTGAAGGACGCACAGGAATCACTTCTGTAAAACACCTTTGCTTAAAAGAAAAATTCTACACAGTTGCGCATACAGACTTAAGGTTCCAGTAAAGAGTCCGTAACAACCCACATATGTTTGAAATTAATGACTTTATTGACACAAACTTCGAAATGGAAAATGTTATCCAATAGGATAGTAAGAATCAGTTCCTGTCTTAAAAATTGCCAGATGGAAATCTCAACGCCGTGGCCAAGACCATCGGCCCTCCCTCCGGCTCTTCTTCTCTGAAGCAAGGATGCTATATATGCAGAGGCAACTTTTGCAGATGGTAAATTCCAAATGCCGTGCATCAGTGAACCGAGGCAAACACAGAGTCGGGAGGAGAAGCTGGCCTCAGCCCGTGGCTGACAGCCCATCAGCTGGGGAAGCAGCGTGTCAAAACACAGCGCACATGCCCTGGAGAGCAAGCCCTTGAGCTCGCAGGACCGCACCACTGCCAAGCTGGCAGCAGGATGCCTGCGGAGCGGTGCCACGAGGACACAGGAGTCACGGGGCTTGCTTTTGTTTTATTAGTTAAATTGTCAGAACATGAAGTTCCCTAAAAGCCCTTTGACAAGGAGTCAAGATGAGAGAGGTTTGGGGAAACTGTGGGGTGTACGGCAAAGGCATGGATAGAGATCAGGAAAACACCTACACCTGCGACGGACAGAGAGTTACCTTTAACCTAAGGCCGAGACTCCACTGCAGTAATTGGCCCTGGGCTGTAGCGTCCAATTCAGTCTCCTGAGTATCAAGCTCACCCACAGAGTCAGAAGATGGTGTCGTGACTGCCCAGACTCCAAATCCTCCCACGTCTGTTACCATAGCCAGCACAAGGTTGGCAGTGAATGTTTAATGCTAACTAAGATGCAGTCTACCGTTCTACCTGGGTTGGAGAAATACCGGAGAAAGGAGTGGACGGACATTCACATAATAGTCTGCTGAGGATACTTCTCTTGGCCTGCGTGGTATAAACACGTCATCAGCTGCCGTTACGGCTGCTAAATGTGCAGTTTGTTGGTACAGTTTGATGCACCTCGGACTGCACCTTGCCTAAGCCCCAGCACATTAACAGGCCTCTCAAACTCGTGCTCCGTTATCCTGTGCAGGAAGATGTATTTCAGAATGCTGGACAAAATATTCCTCTCCCAGAATCATTTCACTTGGCTGCCTGTTTTCTTATGTCAACATGAATATACGTCAACCATGTTCTGGCTTCCAAAACTAATTATTTTACAGAAACCTTAGTCCTTGGGGCTGTATGCAGACAGGCCACAGGGACATCACGTGCACCACCCTGTCTTCCTAGGTCACTTCCCTCCCATGAGCGGTATCCAGTCTTGGATTACAATTGTGCGTGACCTGACTGGAGGTCATGAGAATAAAAGGGAACTGGAAAGCTATGAGGAAAAGCCACATGTAGCTAGGTCCCAGGGGGCTGGCAGGTTGGATGCGATGGCCACAGACATCGCAATATTCTGGTTTGGAGGCCAGTGTCCAGATGCCAGTCTGGGAGGCCTTTCCAGGTAGACGATGAACCGGTGTGACTGTCCCAGACACCTCTCACAGACACTCTGCGGGCCCTGGTGGCGTCTACGTGTGCCACTGGGATTGATCTATCTCAAACTGAGTTTTTCTGTTTTTTTTCGGGTTTTCTATTTCTGGGTTAGAGTTGGATGAGAGCCAGCTCCACGGTGGAAACATTAAATTTTGTGAGAGCTGTTCTTACAAAGGAGGAAAGAAGGGGCCTGTTGAAGACCACCCCAGGAAACCCACTACTCCTGCGTGTCTGTGTCACTCACAGACACATGAATTTCACCATGGCTACCATGGCTAACCAGGCTACAGAAGCTGCAAAAGGGAAAAACAAACCACATTTTGACAATTTCAGAACATATTTCGGAACTTTTCCATCCCCCCCCCCTTTTTTTTTTTTTTTGCATGTGATAAACAGGAAGCTGAGAAGGTCCTCAAAGCACGAGTGGCTGTGTGTTGCCTGTTCAAGCCACCGCTACAGATACGCAGAGGAGGCCATGTTTAGCAAGCGACACTTCTTCCTCAAGATTCTTTGACTGGGCTCCACAAAGAGTTCATCGGCTCCTACATCCAGGCACTGCTAGTCGATGCAGTTCTTTGGGATTCTTTTACTTCTGTCCATCTGTCGGATATTCTCTGTAACGTTAATCGTGACTTCTTTTGCAGACATTCTCTTGGCATCCCTTTTAGCCTGTGAAAAAAGTTGAAAACGGTGAATTTAGTTCCTGTCAAATATCCAGAGTTCATCCCATTTGTGTTAACTTCTTGAGACAACGCAGACAGGCCAGGGAATGACCTACAAAGACTCATACACTTAAGGCCCTCTTCAGAGGTTTTCAGTGCTCCATAAAAGCATAAAAATTGCACACATTAAAGGAGGTAGCATGCAATGCCTTGATACATGGCTATTCTCAGAGGCTTCTCTGTTGACTCTCAAGCGAGCACAGGTGCCTGGATAAGATGTGCCCATGAAACACGGGTGAATGAATAAATTCACTGGGATTAAAGGGAAGTAAGGACATTGTAACAGTTGGTCTTAGTGACATGGTTAAGGTTTTGAGATTCGGGGTCAGATTTGGCTCAAACACAAGCTATTTAGTTCCACGAGGCAGACATTTCTAACTTCACCAGTTTGGGACTTCCTGGTCTGTGAAGTGGGGGGAATATTATCTACCTCATATGACTTTTGTAAGCATAAAATAAGGTAACACATGTATAACATCTGAAAGAGTGTCTGCTATTAAATAAAGAGAAATCACAAAACAGAATTGTCTAGTTTTAGGTGAAGACAGACCCCTGGTGAAAGTCCAGAATTAACCTTAGACACAAGAGCATTAACTAAACTGTAGGTTTTCCAACATGTTTCCCCCCCCACACTTCTCATAAAGTGAAAGTAAGTTTGATTGGGGAGCAGATCCCGGAAAATGGCAGTGAGTGCAAAATGACCCTACAAGCCGTATGTCCCTGACTTCCATTCCAGGAGGATCTGCTGGCCAGCGACAGCTGGGGGACAGGGAACAGCCAGCACAGAGCCCCTAGCTGTCCTTGCAGGGGTGACCTCAGCTTCAGGGAGCCACCTCATCTAAGCTTGTGCCCTTCTCTCTAGAGAACAGCTGTTCAATGTCGGAGGAAAGAGATACAAACACCAGATCATCACAGCCCAAGCCAGCCCAGCTCCGGCAAGCCGTTCGTCCCCAGAGCCCCCAACAATGGTCAGCGTCCCTCTGCCTGCTTCTGTTTCCAGCTCTCCCGTCCCCATCGCATCCTATTGGCACTTCCTGATAAATATTCCGTACAATGACAGGTCACATCTGCTTCCTGACACACAGTCTCAGACCCTGCAGGAACGGTGTAACAACCTGGGAATCTCACCCATTTTCCATACCACATGGGTCCTCAACACAAGCCATCCATGTCAGCTGAAGCACATCCCAGAAATGGCAGATTCTTGCAGCACCAGAACAAGCACACCGCTCTATTGAGTTCTATTTGTAAATGATAGCTAAGGCTCTCGTAAGTAGCATGAACCCCGTGTGTTTGTGATAGATACTGCTGGTGTCTTCCTCTGGACCTTCTCAGAAGATGCATGCAGCTCCCAGTTGCTGAGTCGTGGATGCTAATGAATCATCATCACCTTTTTAGTTTGGTTTTGTTTTTACAAAGCTTTATCCTCACCTGATTGGTGCCAATACTCTAGAGGTGCCAGAGAGGTTACACCTTATTCCCGGGGATACAGAATTCTAGCCCTCTTGCTTCACAGGGCAACAAATACAATGGCACCTATACCCCACAGCTCCTAGCATGGGAATCAAAGCGAGACTGTACTACATCTGCTCAACAAAACTCATGTACTTGCTGGACCTGTAACTCTAACCTGACCTGCTTCCTGTATGCATCTATCAGTTTCGTGAGGTACAGTTATAATCTTGGGCTCTGCTTCTAGGGAGCCAGACTTAAAATAATTGTTTTGGTAACTCCAGTGTTCAAGGACAGCTTCGGTTCTTTCATCTTTAATCTTACCTACCAATTTTAAAAGACCAGATTTCATTATCTCTATTATAATATCCCCAGTGCCTAGCACAGTACTGAGACAGAGCAAGCACCCAAGTTTAACTTTGGCCGGCCGGCCAGCCTGCCGGCTGGCTGGCTGGATAAATGGTGGATGATTTGATAAGTGGATGGGTGGGTGGATAGATTTGTGGGTGGTCAAGGGTTGGAACCCATGATATAGTGCATGTGTGGACACTGTAGGAAGTTGGGGCTCTCCTTCCGCCATGTGGGCCCTGGACATGGAAAGTCAGATGAGGCTGGAAAGCAAGTGCCTTTACCCACTGAAGCCACCTCACCAGCCTAGAAAAGGACATTTCCAATTTTTTAAAGACTATATGGAGGCTGATACATCAGCCCAGGGAAAGTGCCAAACCTTTCATTCCCGTGAGGACATCAGACTGGTAACTACTGCAGTCTAGTTACAACTTTGAAGCTTTAGATTCTTTTGCCTTGAATGTGAAATGTCTCCCATTGGCTCCAAGGTTTGGTCCCCTGCTGCTGGCGCTGTTTTGGAATGTTCTTGAACTTTTAGGAGGAGCCATCTCCTGAGAGGAGGTGTCTTACTGGGGGGAGGTCTTGAGATTTTAGAGCGCAGCCCTAGTTCTGTCTGTTCCCTGCCTCCAGACCACGGACAGGGTATGACCAGTCACCTGGGGCTTCCACCATGGTGATCGTACCCCTCAAACTGTGAGCTGACACAGTCTCTTCAACCTCCGAGCCCAAATTAGCGCTTCCTTCTCTCACTTGCTTTTGTCAGATATTTTGCAGCAGCCATGAGAAAAGTGATTGTTACAAACTCTAAGCCTAAGCGAGAGGAAAGGGGGAAAGTATAATGTCAGGTATTTTCCATTTCTTCTTCTTTGATAAGGCTACAGATATACACAGGACAGTTAAACCCCTTTTGTCTCTTAGGATCACTTTGCAGGAATAGATTTACCCCCCCCCCCCTCTGATGTGGTTTTCAGCCAGCCAAGCCTTTCCCACCCCTCTTTTAACAAGGAAAAAAATAAGTGTCTGTATTGTAATTACTGGCTTAAAAAAAACCCTCACACTTCTGTTTGATGAGGAGAGAGACCTACTTGGCACCTTCACCTCGCACAGCTAGCTGTTAGTGCAGCCCGTCCTCCACTCCTAATGTTCTCTCTTTGTGAGCTCCGCCACCACTGACTCCCACTAATGGGCCACCTCCTGTTTCTCACCCATCCTGACGGCGTATTTTGTTCCTGTCTCGTTTTCATTTCTGTAGGCCCGGAACCCTGTGAGTCACAGCTTTGAGTCCCCTTGACACGGCCCCTTTAATTACGAGTCATTTGCTGGCTGCCATTCTCCGGGGTAGCCAGGTAGACTGCGGTGACGTCTTGGCAGCCTCCAACCCAGATGGACTTGTCTCTCTTGGGGTTCAGAAGTCCCTGATCCGGCTCATCCCCTGTGGCGGGTCAAGGACAGGTTGGAGGCTCCGCCTGGACTCAAGATGGCAGCAAGATTTGCTCAGCTTCTTCTCAGTTCCACCCAAATGGAAACAGAGACGTTCTTGGCTTAGCTCAGACTAGCACTGTGGGATCTAGCTCGGTGCCAGTCCCATGGTGGACCAGACATGCGCAGATAGACTTTCAGAAAGCAAAGGGAAGGTACAGTGACACACACCTTTAATCCTAGCACCTGAGAAGGTGTTGGCTGGAGGACCAGGAGTTCAAGGATATACTCAGCAGCTTACTGAAGTCAAGGTCATTTTAGGATGCATAAGATTTTGTCTCCAAAACCAGAGTGAAGGGGGAAAGGGTACAGAAAGCAGGAGAGTGAGCTCCCAGGCACAGAACCTGTCAGTCCTGCCTAAAAGCCCTAGAAGTTCCCCGCTGACTTCAGTTATGTAAATCATTGATTGTTCCTTATATCTCCTTTGGAGCAGTGTGCTTGTTCACACATCAGGGCATCTGAAGGCATTCGGGCTGATGTGGTTTGCTGAGGACAGTGGCCTGTAGGTGATAATCCAAAAGAAAGATGGTGGCTCCAAGTCCCACATCCTGATGAACTCTGGTCAAGCTCGCACTGACTCCTCCAACACTGTGATTTAGGTAATGAAGGAAAAGGCATGGGCTTGGGAGGCCATAGCACAGCTCGCTGCATCCTGCTGGATGGGCCTCTGTTTTCCCAGGTCAGGAAGGACACGTGAGCTTTCAGAGTCATGGGAGTTAAAAACAATGCCAAGTAGCCCGGCCAGTGGCGGCACACGCCTTTAATCCCAGAACTTGGGTGGCAGAGGCAGGTGGATCTCTGTGAGTTCAAGGCCAGCCTGGTCTACAGAGTGAGTTCCAGGACAGCAGGGATGTTATATAATGAATCCCAGTCTCAAGAAAAGCAAATCAAACCAAACAAATAAAAAAAATGACATATATAGCTTCTGGCACATAGTAGACCAGGTGTGTTAGTTCACCCCTCCCTGTCTTCTCAGAGGATTAAAGAGCAGGGTCTTACAGGCTGCACTGTGAGGCCTTAGACTTCTGTCAGATCTCCACTAAAGGATGGCAGACACTAAGAAACTAAACTAGTCCCCAAAGTCCATGGGTTTTAGAGCATTAACCTGGGGTTAATCAGGGGATGCTCCAACTCTGCGAGAGGCCAGCTGCTAGCCTTCCACAGCAAGAGCAGACCTGCTTTGACCTAACCTACTGGGCTTTGCCAAGGGTCACAAGGATGCCTTGCTTTTCCCCCATGAGCCTCAGGAGAGATGATCTCTGGGATGGTCACAGAGATGCCTTGACACAGTGATGTCAGAGCAGAGCTGGTGCAGCGGGGGAGGGGGGGAAGCCCCGCCCCCACCTTTAATCTCAGTGAGCTGCTAGTTAGTCTCACTCTACCAGCATGTGGTTATGAGCACCTAGCAGGTGCATTAAACCCTAAGAGGCCTGGAAAGTCAAAGGGAGAACATCATGAATAAGGAGGGCTGTGGCCCAAGCACCTTCTAAATGAACTGGTTTTGCTGCAGGCCAAATCGCTGCAGAAACTTCTCACAGGGCTATAATAGATCCCTTCCTTTTTCCCAGGCGTGGGCTGCTCAGAGCTCCCAAGTGCCCTAGGGACAGCCCCGTGGTTCCATCTGTTCCCTCCCTCCATGTAGCCTCCTGCTTCTGTTTTCCTAAGAGAGATTCCTCCCAAGCTCTTCCGTGATGCCCTCACTTTACCATAGTCTGAGAGAAATCCCAAGCCGACCCTTTACTTTGAACTCTGTGGGGCTTCACCCCTTCTTCCTATAGGAGGCCACACATTGCCACCATTGTTGGCCAGACTCTGGGGGTGGAAACTTCTATAGCAAGTCCCTTAGCCGAGAATTAATCCAGACAATGGGTGATTCCATTAGCGTCTGGTCACTTTGCCAAGAACAATAAAGCTTTGGAGCTTTGGAGACATGAAAGTCTCGTGGGCAGCCAACCACATGCTGAGTCTCCGTGATGAGAGCTGTGTTCAAGTGGCGTTTCTACCTCTGACTAATACCTGAGGGGGTTTGGTTTGGTTTGGTTTGCTTAGATTTTTCCTTCAGTGTATTTATGCCCCTGCAAAGGTCAGAAGAGGGCGTCAGATTCCCTAGGACTGGAGTTACACGTGGCTGGAGGGGTGAAGGTGGGAGCGGGGAGTGGGCATGCATGGGAGCAAGTGGGCATGCTCTGTAAACACCCTAACCAATCAAGAGGCAGTTCTAGTCAACATAATGGGGAAGCCAGTGCTGTTCAAACTTCGAGAGCCTGATCCCACGTAGTTTATTTTAGACATGTTTAAGCACAGCACGTTCCGGTGAGTTTCACTCCTGAGTGCCCCATAAAACCTAGAACATGACTACACTGGAACTCTCTGTAAAGTGCATGTGACATCATGTGTAAACATGTGTTCTCTAGATCTGCTGAGAAAACAAGCTCAAGATAAGGGTCTAGGGGAGGATCCAGTGTGGTCTTGGCCACGCAGACAGTGCAAAGTTTGCCAGGCCATCAACCGTGTCCACTCCCAACCTTCTGGGCAGGAAACAGATGATACCTCTCTTTCTTTGAAGAGACAACCCTGCATGGTTTACATTCCTGGTTCTCCTAGTATTTATCTCTGGGCATAGACACTCTGTACCTCACACAGTGGTAAAGCCACCATGTGGGTACTGGGAACTGAATCTCAGTTCCCTGCAAGTACAACAAGTGCTCTTGACTGCTGGGCCATCTCTCCAGCCCCAGTGGAGAGTTGTGTGTGTGTGTGTGTGTGTGTGTGTGTGTGTGTGTGTGTGTGTTTGCACGTGCGCCCGTTTGCCTTAGAGTACCTGTGGAGATCAGAGGATAAGGTTCAGGAATTGGTTCTCTCTTTCTACCACACAGGTTCCTGGTATCAGACTCAGGCTTGGTAGGAAGCACCCTTACCTGCTGAGCTGGCCTTGAGAGAGTTTTGTCTGTTTGACTTTTAAGGGATGAGATGAGCTGTTAGTCCGAAGAAAATGGCATATCAAGGTGCAGAGGGTGTGCTTGGAGAGCCCAGAGTTCTTAGACCCCCTTACCTAACAGAGAGCAACAGAGACGCCTCTTGTGTTGTTTGTGGAGCACAGGATGGGGTGAAGGAGAATAAGCCAATGACCAATGACGTCTTACATGTTCTGGGGTCAATATGGCCCCACACAATCAAGGGAAGCAGGGCATACAAAGAGCTCCCTACTGAGACAGTCAGCTCCAACTTGTGAAAGACCATTGTTGGTGCAACTGTTCTTCCAGTTAACACCTGCTGATTGCTGGCCAGAAAACAAGGACCAAAAGGAACTGAAGAAAAAAAAATACAAGGTTTGTTTGTCCAAACACAAAGGACTGTTGCTCGCCATCATTGATACTGTTCATCAAGTCCCATCGCCCTTCAGAAGCGATGTGAGCCCGTGAGGTGCTAACAGAGAAGCCACTACCCTCAGTGGTGACTTCCCAGGTCTCTCAGAACACAGTCAGGTCTGTGACAACATCATTTATCTTCTGATCTGACTCTCACGCTGACGGCAGCGGCACTTGGAGGAAACAGTGCCTCTCTCTTTCCCACTCCCGGGTTCTTGGCACTCAAACAGTGCCTGGCATCTGAACAGCACTCAAAGGGAACCTGAAAGTGCTCGTAGAAACTAATGAGGAAACTCTCGAGGCCTAGCAAGGTTCGTCTTTAATCCACGCGTTTTTCTGGTAAATCTGAAAACTGCAGGAGGTGTGTGCTTGAGGCTGCATGCTTCTCCAAAGGCGGCTGCTGGAGAAGATCCATCACCCAGGTGACGGTGCACAGGGGAAGTGCAGTAAAGTTCCAACATTGTGGAGACTTACATACTAGTAAACCCAATACAAGTTGAGAAATGTATGTAGCATTTCTAACATTCCTAATGCTCCAGCTTAAAGACGCAGCTCACTGCGGGCTCTCAGCTGGGTCCCTGGTGATTTCCAGGCCGACTGGAAGCTGTTACCCTCTCCGCTGTTGCTGGCCAGCATCGTGAAAGAAGGTTGTACTGCGTGCTGCTCGCTCAGGAAGAGATTCAAATTTGAAATTAGAATTGTGATATTCAACATGTGCGTGTTGGTTTCTCGCCACTATGAAAACTTAGCTCAGGATAACTTTGAACTTTTAATCTTCCTAGCTCCATCTTCTGGGTACTCTGATTTCCCAGTGCTGGGGACTGAGCCCAAGGTTTCATTCTGCTAAGGAAGACTCTGCCCCTGGGGCTACAGTCCCACCCCAGGTGTTCTGATGCTTTGCTCCACCTTGTTCAGTGGGAAGGGATCACGCCCATCTCCATCACGTACCTAGTACTCTCCGCGCTATCCAATACGCGGGAAAACAAGCACAGTGCTCAGGCCACTTCCCAGGTCAATCTGCCACCTCTCTGCTAGAGCTCATTCTAGCTGTATGAGTGGAGTCCCAAGTACAGGGGGGAGGATAGGGGACACATACCCGAACCTTCACTAGAACTCTCACCAAACTGGTGAGCACGGTTCTGTAGAGCCCAGACTGCTTTAGGATATATCAATGATGACTCGTTCTCCTAGAGGTCAACTTATGCACAGGCAAAGTAGCCAATGCCAGGCCCTGGGAGGACGCTGTCCACTACCTCCCCAGTTAGCAGTAGGGCTCCGTTAGCATTAATGAGGTCCTTGTGTCGAGTGCCAAGCTATCCTGCTTGGCCTCCTTGCCACTGTTATGCGTATCTCAGTTTACAAGAGCAGACCCGACTTCTGTTCCTTGGGGTATTATTTCATTTCCGTTATATGTTTAAGGAACCCGAGGGTCTGAGAGATAGACTCCTGCAAGTCTACTCAGTTAGTGAACTTCAGAGATGAGTTTGCAACCAGTTTGCTGATCAAAGCCTCTAAAGCGACCGGTGAGAGCAAGAATTCCATCACTGGGCGGGAACCTTGCCCTTAGGGGAAGGTGGAGCCCTACAATCTGAAGCAGACAGTAAGTGGGGACTTCAGGGACCATGAGAAAATGGAAGGGGGAACTGGGTAGGAAGAAGAAGAGAGGGCACAGAGCCCAGTCTCCTCAGAACTTTTGTTCTAGGCTGCAGCCCCTCCGTGGAGGAGCCAGGTACAGCCAGGAGGAGGGCATCCAACCAAGAGCTCCAGGGAGAAAAGGGTAAGAGATGACAGCCAGCTCCAGGGACCACAGCCTGCTGCCTTGCCAACAGCAAGGGTTTAAAGGTAACGATTCAGCCCACGAGGAGAGGATTTAAGTAAGGGAGGGGTGGAGAATCTCCATCCCCGAGGCCGGCAGTCCTGACTTAAAGTAAACGCCACCCATTCTCCAGTCCCCAGTTGGTTCTGTGGCCGCGCCCCTACCTCTGTGGGCCAAAGGCCATTCTGTTTCTGGGTCAGAGGGCCTGAGCTGAGGCTCTGGGAGTTGGGACACTGTGTCCCACAGGTCATCTTCTTCTCTGGGTTGGCTATTCCCCCTGGGACGGCAGATCGGAGTACGCCGTTGGAGGACAGTCCATCTTCCAGCACACCTGGGAAGGCAAGGAGAGGATGGCACAGAGGCTGCAAATGGCAGGCATTATAAACAATCCCAAGATGGCAGAAAAGAGGGCAGCCCAAATGCCTCCCAGAAAACTACCATGTAAATGTGTGTCTTTTTATATAAAAATGAGATTTTAAAGTAATTTTGTTGCTTGACATTTTTTCATTACCACACTGATGACAACCTCTCACCTTTGCCCATTCAGGCATGTTATCTTTAACACGTCTGCTGGCTGTATGGAAAGGGCGTCCTTTACTCAACCCCCTCTAGCTTCCTAGCAATAATGTTACTGGAATAATACTCCTTTTGATTAATAATTTTACTTAGTTTTCTCTTGGGATAAATTCCTAGAACTAAGGTCACTCGCTTGTAGGTTACACTGGGTTCCTCCCCTCCTCCCATCTCCACCAATAGGACTGAGCAAGCGTATCCCATGACAAATGCCAAGAAACATAGAACTTTAAATAAACAGCCTCACTGAAAAGCAAGAGGAGGACAAGGGGGGAATTCACAGAGCATAAAAGGTACCTTATTTGTAAGCGAAAAAAGGCCCGCGAAGCACGGAGGGGACCTGCCAAGAACCAGAGAAGCCAGCCAGATGCTGCAGGAGTTATGGGGTGAGGGAGCAGCCCGTGAGGGTGTCTGCCCTCCTCCACCAGCCTAGACTAGATGGCCATCAGGGCTTGGCTCACAGTAGGGTGCTGCACTCGGGCATTGAATTTCACTGGTAAGATTCAAGTTCAAAGAGAGAATAACTAAGAATTTCAAGATGGCAGCCACTGAGTCCAAGCCAGGGCCCTTCGAAGCCCAGCATGGCCTGCACACCATCTGGCTGCACCATGCAGAGATACCTGCTGCAGCTGAGAGCAACCAGCAGGGTTTGTTTGCTTAGGGTACAATTCTGGATAATGAAGAGGAAGATACTGCTTTTTGTGATGTTCTGTACTTACCAATTTTGGCACGTTTCAGAACTGAGAAATACAAGTTAAATCCTCACGCTAGGACCACTGGGTTCGTGCTGGTTGTCCTGAAAACATTACACCTGGCAGTGGTCAGTGGCCTGGCTGACCCTGTTTCAGCTGGTCATCAGAATTTCTCAGCTCTTCTATCAGGCGCCATAGGTCAATGGCGAAGCACCTAGCTGATTGTGCGACTCCTAAGTCAAGAATGTAACCAAGGAGGCTAATGAGAGGGGCCTGGGGGGAGACAGCTGGTGCCGTGCCATAAGTGATATGCACATAAATAAATAACCATGTCTGTGTCAGGCATTGTTAGAGCTTTTGTGTGCATTGTCTCGTTTAACCCTCACAGTGCCCTGCGAGCCAGAAGTCCTTTATTCTCACCCAGTAAAGGTGGCCCCTGTGTGGTGCGAGGCGCCGGGCCCCATCTGTGCTTCTTCCATCGTACCACTGTCTGCCTACTCCAGCCTGGAGCGGGAATTAAAGTTTAACTCCAGATCTGTGCTTTTCTGACACTTGGGAAGCTCCCAAGTCGGCAGCTCTCGATCTCTGGGTGTAGGAGACCCTCCAGGGGTGTCTTCAAGCACAGATCCTAACATCTGCTGCCCAGACTTCTGATTCAGGAGAGCCTCGGGAACGTGGATTTCTGAAAGCACCCTAGACTCTGAGGCAGAGGGTTTCAGAGACTTCAAAGGTTTATTATATTATGACTGTAGATGTAGCTATGTACAGACCTGCCTGTCTGTATCTCACAGATTAATGCTCCTGCTGGTCCTCGGGGCTAGAGGCAAAAACCTTTATTTTCCCACAGTGCATTCCAGCACAGTATAATAAAGGAAGATAAATTCGCTAGCTCCTTAAAATTTGTGTGCCCCTAGAGTGCCTCTTTTTTTTTTTTTTTAACATCCTCCACACAATTTCTATCCTGTCCAAAAGACAAACCAAATTACTGACTTTGCCAAAAGGTAGAAAATGGATGTGCTGATGCTTGATACACTGCAACCAGCGGCTTCCTGCCGAAGCTTCTGGCTTAGAAATGACGCCACGTAGTGGGGGGGGGGGCAGAATAGAGAGAGGGGTTTAAAATAGCAGCTGGCAGCCGCACAGAGAACGAGCTTGCTCCCTAACCCCAGCACCTGGCTCCTCCCGGTCAAGGTGATTAGAGAGTCTGCCCAAAGTCATGAAGAAGTGCCGGCAAGTGCCTTCCCTCAGTGACAGGACTCAGAGTGTAAGACCTTGGCGCTCTATTTGGGAAGAGTCTCTGAAGTCACATCAGACGGATCCCTGGCTCATAGAGCCCTGTCTAGGCTCCGATCCAGAACACATGCCCCATGGTAATTTCGTCTGAATTGAGGTATAAATTAAGTTATTACTACTCAACCACTTACTGAGAGTCTGTCTTCTAATTTTCAAAAGGAACTAGAATAGGATGGTGTCTGCCTGCCATTTCTTTAGTCTGATGAATAAATGCAAATTGCGCATGTTATATAATATGGTATGTGACCTTTGACATAGGTATTATTAGATATCCCAACAAACTATTCAGTAGCCCTTGCATTCCTGGGCAATTGATTTTGGACAAGGATGCCAAAATCATCCAAAAAGGAAACAATTTCTCAACAGATATGTTAGAGGTTCGTGTGCAGAAGAATGGGGGAATTCCCTACCTCACAACCAACACAAAAGTTAAATTACAAGGAACCAAAGATGTAAAAGTAAAGGCTAAAACCGTTAAATATTTCTTTAAAATATAACTGGCAAATATTCATGCTATTAGGTTAGGCAACAGTTCCTGGGAAATGGCCCAAAAGCACAAATAGAAATGGTGAAATCCATAATTGGACATGATCAAATGCATCGGTGGCCATGGACATGAAGAGGTAATCCATAGGACGGGAGAGAGCTTTCAGAAATTATATCCCTGCCCTTGCAGTCCAATAATGAAAAAAGACAAATGATTCAGCTAACGTATGAGCAAAAGATCTGAGTGGATGTCCACACAAAGGACACATGCAAACGGCCAAGAATATCCCAAGCTGTAAGAAGTTACCACTTAGGATTTAAGAAAACGAAAGCTGGAGACCAAACAGTGATGTAGCTGTGGAGAACTTGGAAGCCCTACACCGCTTCTGTGATGGGTGTGCTGGGCAGGATTCCGGCTGCTTCCCTGTGCCAGGCTTTCCGAAAGGAAGACAGAGCCTCTGTGGTCCAGCAAGGCCACTTCTAAGTACACACCTAAGAGAGATGAGAAGAGCCACACAGAAGCGTTCACACGAACGTTTGTATTAATCTCGGTTGCCAATCTGGTGGTGGGGTTTAGAGTCACTATGGAAGTCACTGAGTGTGTCTTGAGAGGCGCTCTCTAGTTTTGCTTAGGTGAAGAGGGAAGACTCACCACGCCTAGTAACTAAAACGTAGCAATAGACCAAACATCCCACCAGCTGGTGAGTGGATGAATATTATTTGGTAATACAGATGATGAATTGCTGATGTATGCTATACACCAGCTGAGCTTGAAACATTATGCTGACTGAGAAGCCAATTACAGAAGGTAGCTTATGATTATACCTTATAAAATATTCAGAAACGGGCAATTCTAGAGACGGGAAGGCAGCTTGATTGCCAAGGGCGCGGGTATTGGAGGAGATGAAAAATGACTCTTAATAGATATGGTATTTTCCCCCAGGTAATGAAAATGTTCTAAAATTGGTGGTGCAGGTGGCTATACAACCAGATTATAGTTAAAGAGAGTGGGTATTAGAGGGGGGAAAACCCGTGAGCAACACATTTCAGACTTTGTTACTGTCTGAAGAGAAGAGAAACATCTGGACGAGCACAGCAGCAGCTGGGGGGGGAGGGATAGCCTAACTTCTGAACTGGCTGGAACTGGGGGCAGCAGCCACAGCAACTGTCTGCCAGTGCTGTGGAGACAAGGTCTGAATTCTTCCCCCAGTAGGGACACCCAGCAGGTGGCACACAGGCTAGAGAGGGCATTAGCAGCCCTAAGGGACAGAGAACCTCAGCTCTGACTAGCTTTACTTTTCTCTCTGTGTTCTCCCTGGAACCTATGTCTTCTCTCTGCCTACTTATGTAGCTCTCTCTGATCCTTCAGTGGCGGCTCCCTATTAATCTCCCCTCCAAGATTTTCATAGAGCTGAAGTCTGTCCTCACCAGGTCTCCATAGTTACTTCCGGCTGTTCTGACCTAAGCTATAATACAAGTTCAGCTCCCTCTAATGTCATGCACGCTTGCTGCTTCTAAGGTGGGTAGCTACTGGTGAGTTACTGGGCATCCATACTCCTCCCAGGTTGCCCCAAACACTCCACCGCCCCTCTCATTCCACTTCTCTCCCTTGAATAGTTCTCTTAAACACTTAAAATACATGGGTTGTGTACTGCTCTGCTAGAAACAACACAACGAACCACACCAATGTTTTTTTCTCGCAGTCCAAGGGGGAAGGTGTGAAAAGGCTGGTTTCAAACCGAGCATGACACCTGCCTGTAATCTCAGCTGAACCAGATTATCTTTCAAAGGTTCTGTCTCCAAATACGATTATATTTCAAAGTTAGGGGTAAGGTTGAGAATTCACTATAAATATATTTTTTAAGATTTATTATTGCTGGATGGTGGTAGTGTACACTTTTAGTCCCAGCGCTCAGTAGGCAGAGACAGAGGCAGGCAGATCTCTGAGTTTGAGACCAGCGCTCTAAAAGTGAGTTCCAGGACAGTCAGGGCTACACAGGGAAATTCTGTCAGGGGGTGTTATTATTTATTTTTATTGTATGCATATTGATGTTTTGTCTGATATATCTCCATGGAAAACGTGTGTCTGGTGACCTGGAAGGTCAAAGAGAGGCACCATATCCCCTGGATCTGGATCTGGAGTTACCTGTGGTTGTGAGCCACCACATGGTTGCTAGGAGCGAAGCAGGTCCTCTGCAGGATTAACCAGTACTCTCCAACAATGTGCCACCTCTACAGCCCCTCAACTCCATCCCAGAGAAGACCCGGGGAGCTGGGTAGCAGAGGT